ATTTGAAAGAGCACAAAAACAATAATTTTCACAATGGTAAAAGCATTTTGGTGTATCTTTTTGTAATACTGGTTGCTCTGGTAGTTCAACTACGGGAAGTTGAACAAATTTTCTTATGTAGTCTGCCTTTTCCCTTCCTTTTACATAAATAGTGTCAGTTGGATTGGGCATATCTTGTAAGATTTTTCCAAGTTTGTGTAATGGTACGAAACCTGCGTTCCAGTCGAGACCATGGTGATTTTTTGTTAACCATAGTGCTTGCTTTTGAAACTGTGGTGACAACATATTGAACGGAAAGGGTGCTTTAAACAGGTAATGAAACATCTTCTCACCATCAAACGCAGCCAACTCTTTAATTAGTAATTTATTGTTTTCAATTTTGAACCCCTGTATATCTAATACAAGAGATATTTTTTAAGTTCGATAATTGGTTCAACACGGAAACTTTTAAACAATACAAATCTAGATCTTTTTTTTAATTCTTTAAGTTTTTCCATGTACTTACGCGCGTAAGATATTTCTGTATCTGTAGATGTTATCAATATTTTTTCAGGTTCTTAACGTCACACAATCTAGGTGACGGACTTGTTATTGTAGTAGGGGGGTTTATTGACTCCACTCTTAGTTAGTATTGGGATGGTCGGGGTATGCGCAGTAGTACTTAACGGAGCGCCATATAAAAATTGAATGCCATGTACATCGTCTTCTCCAAGAGAATATTCCGTTTTGAACCATGGATACATTATAGCCTTATCGTCGGTAGTATGCGATAAGCCTAAGGTGTGTTCGATTTCATGCATAAAACAGGGTAAAGCTACTGCACTATCAGGGCCCGGCTCTACACCTTCATACCACCGTTCCTCACCATCCAAATGAATTTCTCTACACATATCATTGGTTATAGGAAAACATGCATGAGCCAGTTTTACTCCGGGACCGTCAAAAGGGAACTGACAACCTCCTTTCGTACACTTCGAGTGGTTATTGTGGAACGTGGGGTGTAATGTATAAGAATATCCGCCTCGTCAATAATAGCTATTTTCTTGAACGATAAAGTTGACACATCAGACCACATCCTAAATGCCCTCTCCGTTAACCGAATACCTGCCGAGGATCCTTTAAAATACCAATTTAAACGTCTTTTTCCATGCATAAGAAACTGCTTCGAAATCTGACACTATGTCCGGTAAGCCACACCGATGTTTCAACATCATAAATTCCGTTTCATTGTTTGAAGTTCCGTTAGCGTCTATATGAGCATATTTTTGAAATGTTGATAAGGCGTCAGAATAGTCTAAGCTTGTTATATCTGTTGTGTTGTTAGATAAATAGCCATATGTTGTTAAATAATCTGTCACATTAGTAGGGACTATCGTGTACACCACCCTTACTACAAATAGCAAAAACACTACACACAGCATTTTATATATTTCACAGAAATTGAGAGCAACCACTGTTTAAAGAGTTAGCTATAACCCTGTGTTTATATGGGAAATAGACAGTGTTTAAATATTTTATCACCCCTCCTACTAGATAAATACTTTGTTGCACCTGGCAAGTGTTTTGTACATATTTATACGAGGTTTGTAAATTTGCAAAAGCTGACACGTGTAGGTCATGTAGTTCGTGGGGTATTTAGATCACTTTGGCTCCTGATAAGTGTATGACGTTTTGTATTTACACTCGAAAACTGCATATTTTGGAGTATTTTTAACCTACGTTTTAATAAGTAACAACGTTGCTGCATTCTGGCAACGTGTCTTGTATTTATTATATGTTTGTTAATTGCCATGAGTATAATTAGGTACACGTGTTTTGGCTATGTTCAAACATTTCAACCGTTTCATAGATATGCGTTTATTGTGCCATGCCAGCTATAATGGTTTATTTATGCAAAACATGTAAATTAGTTAGAGGTGTAGTAGTTGCTACTACTATATATGGAGTTCATACCCGTATACATAAATATCTGGAGTTTTTAAGTAACGAATATGTATTAATTCTAAATATTTTCAAAACCAACCAGTATCTAAAAACGGTTGTTTTTATCGATGGATGCTTTTATTTTATAAAAGACAATTATTAGCCTTAACGCCTCAGTTTATTTATAGTGTATTGTGTTTCTATCTCCGGGTGTTAGATAAGTTACCGTATATGTACCAACAAGGGCTGAGAAGTACTCATATATTTCGGATAAAGGGTAGCCATAAAACCTATAGTTTTGTCTTAACTAAAAAAATAAAACTGTTTTAAACAAATAATAATTATTATTAATAGATACTTATATCAAAAAATGTGGTATTTTAATTGCTAAGGCTTAATTGTATACTAATAGTTTGTTGAAATTAAAACAGCTACTTGTTCGGGATATAGTCCGTGAGTTCAAATAGTTCAACATTCCTCGGTACCTGCAAAATAAAACATGTTTAAACTTTTTAGGTTTGTAAGATAATACATACATACATACATACATACATACATACATACATACATACATACATACATACATACATACATACATACATACATACATACATACATACATACATACATACATACATACATACATACATACATACATACATACATACATACATACATACATACATACATACATACATACATACATACATACATACATACATACATACATACATACATACATACATACATACATACATACATACATACATACATACATACATACATACATACATACATACATACATACATACATACATACATACATACATACATACATACATACATACATACATACATACATACATACATACATACATACATACATACATACATACATACATACATACATACATACATACATACATACATACATACATACATACATACATACATACATACATACATACATACATACATACATACATACATACATACATACATACATACATACATACATACATACATACATACATACATACATACATACATACATACATACATACATACATACATACATACATACATACATACATACATACATACATACATACATACATACATACATACATACATACATACATACATACATACATACATACATACATACATACATACATACATACATACATACATACATACATACATACATACATACATACATACATACATACATACATACATACATACATACATACATACATACATACATACATACATACATACATACATACATACATACATACATACATACATACATACATACATACATACATACATACATACATACATACATACATACATACATACATACATACATACATACATACATACATACATACATACATACATACATACATACATACATACATACATACATACATACATACATACATACATACATACATACATACATACATACATACATACATACATACATACATACATACATACATACATACATACATACATACATACATACATACATACATACATACATACATACATACATACATACATACATACATACATACATACATACATACATACATACATACATACATACATACATACATACATACATACATACATACATACATACATACATACATACATACATACATACATACATACATACATACATACATACATACATACATACATACATACATACATACATACATACATACATACATACATACATACATACATACATACATACATACATACATACATACATACATACATACATACATACATACATACATACATACATACATACATACATACATACATACATACATACATACATACATACATACATACATACATACATACATACATACATACATACATACATACATACATACATACATACATACATACATACATACATACATACATACATACATACATACATACATACATACATACATACATACATACATACATACATACATACATACATACATACATACATACATACATACATACATACATACATNCTTTCTTTACATTCAATTTTATCTTATACTTCAAAATATTTTTTTATTTTCTCATATTATTTGCCCTTTCTAATAACTACATAATCCTTGTGTATTCTACTTTAAATTTGACACTTTTCTGACATATATTTTAATTCATCTACAAATCGTCTTTTATTTTTAATATCATTTATTACCTCTTATTCTAACTTATTTTCTATCTATTTACTAATATGATAATCAACTCAATCATAAATTTTAAAATAATAATTCCAACCATTAATTTTGCCACTTTGCCTTTTACATAACGATTTAAATTTAAATTTTACTTTTATCCCATTAATCTGGTTTCATCTCAATATATATCAGTAAGGTTTTATTCTAATAGTGATACAAAAATACCTCTAAATACCAAACGACCGGTAGGGTCTAATAAAGCTACATTAAATTCAAAAATAAAACTAAGAAGCACATGTAGACAAACAATTCAGACGTTAGAGAACAAAGTTAGTTTAAATTGAAACCTAAAACAGAAATTAATAGAAAACAAACATAAATAAATAAAAATCAAATAAAAGATATATATATATACACTGGTAAACACTGTTTTTGTCACACCAACTTTGTAATGATTTTTATTTATTTTGATGTACCCTCATTCAAAAATAATTATTATTTTGTTTCAGTCACATCCAGTTTTTTTCTGACCTCATTTACGTGTTTTTGTTTGAATAACTTAATTTAGGCGACTGTATAACGATTGCATTTAACTAACTTACGTTTATTACATTGTAAATATGCCGCGAAAGTATTTTAATAACCCGGACAGTTTTTGTTGTGTGTGGAGAATTAACTTTTATATCTCAGCGTCGGAAATTTACGCCATTAATTGAAAAGTGCTATTTAGACTATTTTGGTTTTCCTGTGCGCCACCAAGATAAATCCTGGGTTCCACATATATGTTGTGTAACGTGTGTGAGACTCCTATTAGGTTGGTCTAAACAAGAATCTAGACATTTGCCTTTTGGTATACCAATGATTTGGACGGAACCAAAAGATCATGTAAGTGATTGTTATTTTTGTTTGATTCAAACAAAAAGCGTTACAACCAGTTCAAACACACTGTCCAGTACCCAAATTTCTCATCTGCCAACAGACCAATCCTACATAGTGCCGAACTACCTGTGCCAAAGCCTCCAAATCAAGCAGAAAGGCAGGATTCTGTTCCTAGTCCGGAATTTGTTCATAGTCAACACGATGAGGTATCTCAAGAGAGTGACCCAAGTTATGAACCGTCAACTTCAAAAGAACCGCATTTATTGACACAAAGTGATTTAAACGATTTAGTACGTGATTTGAATTTGTCTAAAAAACAGGCTGAACTATTGGGGTCTAAATTAAATTAACATAAATGTCGATATAGATTTTATAGGGGATACATCATTAGGTCTCTTGGGTTTTAATAAAAGAGTTGTCAAAGCCAATCAGCTAAACGAATTAGATTTTTCTGTTCAAATAATTAAGGTTAATGGTTTATGCATAGACTGTTATATAGCTGTGGGATCATATTTTAATGGTCAACCAGTTCATATAATTCATTCATCAAAACTATTAGCAACTTGGTTCTTAAAATACTCGATCAGGACGGACATCTTGTCAATTTTCGCGAGGAAGTCATAACGGTAACACTACGTCTATTGAAGCTCTCATAAAACATGGTTGTTCGCTACAATATAATTTTTAAGCGTAATTATAAAAGGTCGCGAAAAGTAAATTTCCAGTTAGTTCCAAACGAAGTACTAACAAAGTAACAAGTGAAAATAAGCTGTTCCTAAAATCTCTAGGTTTCGAAGTACTCGAATAATGGATATCTTAAATGTTACTCAGCGTCCCCTCGTAGACAATTCCATCGTTGACTTGGCATATCATAATTACCAACCCTTTGTGACCTCTAAATTTGATTATAATGATGAAATTAAAATTCCAATATAAGAACTGGACGCCTACACTTAACCATGCGGAAGCATGCTGTACTTAGAGGGAAATCTAACAGAGGACGATGGGACTCCGATTTCAGGTAAAATTTGTAAATAATGCCTTCAGTTACCTCTTCAGAGAAATCCGGTGCGAAATGAACGGGATTGTTATAGATTCTGTCCGAAACGTTGGGCTGACGTCTACACTTAAGGGGTATTTATCTTTTAATGAAACTGAAAGCGTAAAGCTTCAAAATGCTGGATGGTTCCCAAAAGAAGGTTTTATACCTGACACTAATAAATTTAATGTGTGCATCCCAATTAAGATGTTATTAGGCTTTTTTGAAGACTATAGAAAAATTATTTTAAATATGAAGCAAGAATTAGTTTTGATTAGAAGTAGTAATGATTTGGATGCAGTAACATCTATCGACGAAACGGAAAAACCTAAGATAACTATTGAAAAACTTTATTGGAGGGTTCCACATGTATCCGTAGGAATCTCACAACAATTGGCTTTAACAAAAATTTTAGATAAAAATGTTGAAATATTGCTTCCATTTAGAAGTTGGGAGCTAGTCGAATATCCCTCTCTGACCGAAACTACAAGACATATTTGGCCTGTCAAAACAACCACTAAACTAGATACTCCACCCCATATCATTGTCGCTTTCCAGAATTTGATGATGTCAATCTCACAAATATTAGGGCATTTTTAAATTCTGAGAGATATCCCTACACCGATCTATTTCTTAACTTTAAAAACAATAAATATGCAACACTATATGAAATGTTCTCAAATTTTCGCCAGTCATACTACGAAACAGGAAATGAACCGATATATAACCCAAAAGAGTTTAAAAAAACTTCACCTATAGCACACATTGATTGTTCTCGTCAAAAAGAAACAATTCAATCAGGATCTGTTGTTCTCAGAATTGAACTGGAAATGTGCAAAACGTGCCTAGTGAAACTACTACGTACTGCTTAATTTTACATGACATCCCATGACAAAAATTGTTAGACAGGTTTAACTAGTTATTCACCAGCTCTGATAAAATTCATTAACCGGTTTTACAACCACATCCTATATAATAACGGCGATGTAATGCACTACATTAGTTAACGATAATATCTAATCCCCATTTTTATATTTTCAACGGGGAGGTATTATGGGCCGTCGAGTTAAAAAACTATAGCTATGGACCAGCAGTTAGAGTCTCATCATATACGGATATAGCACCTATCGATTTCATTTATCAAAGGCCAAACGAGGAGTTTGTCGTTATTTCGGGGGTTTATTACTATATAGTAGAGTTTCCCAGCTTCCGCATCAAACATGGATACAAAAAGATCCCCCTAACAATGTTAGGGCTAAAAAACGTTGTTAAGGTACAGGGTATAGTTAACACATATTCAGGTAGAACATATATTTTTTATTATAATTATTACTATGCCGAAATCGATGAGTGTACATATCAGCTGAAAAATTATGGTATGATTACCGAGCTGTTTCCGGGGATACCAATAGGCTTCAATGGTGTTTTTAGATACCCTAATGGAAATTTGTATTTCTTTATGTACCTTTATATACCTTTTGTATGAATTTAACGAGTTTAAAGGAGCCCTTATACGAGCAGGTCCTTTTGATTTAAGCCTTTTCGGTATCAACTGCACCTCCGATATTCTGCAGCAAATTAGAGAAAAACAATACATTGACGACCAAGGTTAACCACATCAGTAATTCAGTAAGCCGATAATACCATACCAGATTCTTATTAAACCCCATACTATGAGGCCTATGTTTGTCACTTATAGTTCATCGTAACTGATAACTGATATTTCGACTGATTAATTCGAATCTTTTTCCGCACCACCCTTTTAAACAACCAGGCTATTATTTTATTATACATGTATAAAGCTACCCACCCAATTGTTTTATTATTGAAAGAGCTAATATCTGGTAAAACCTGGTCCTGTGAGATATAAATACACTGATTTCATGGTGATAGCACAATACAACGAAAATGTGTTTTACTGCAAACTACAGAACTTTTTAAAATAAACATGAGCCGAAACATATATATGTTTATTATTCTGTGGTTATTCAGATACCGCATAACCATGGCGTCTAATATAAACAACATACCTATATTGGTACATGTCTTTGAAATTAGTCGTATGTCGTACCTACCGTCTAGTTATTTTTCTCCGAGGTTAGGTCCAAATTTATGAGTATTGTATTTTACAATATCCATATATATAAACACAGGGTTATAGCTAACTCTTAAACAGCGGTTGTTCTCAATTTCTGTGAAATATATAAAATGTTGTGTGTAGTGTTTTTGCTATTTGTGGTGTACACAATAGTCCCCACTAATGTGACAGATTATTTAACAACAGTCCCAACTAATGTGACACAATATTTAACAACATACGGCTATTTATCTAACAGCACAACAGATATAACAATCTGAGACTATTCTGACGCCTTACCAACATTTCAAAAATATGCTCATATAGTCGCTAACGGAACTTTAAAACAATGAAACGGAATTTATGATGTTAAAACCTCGATGTGGCTTACCGGACATAGTATCAGATTTTGTAGCAGTTTCTCATGCATGGGAAAAAAGACGTTTAAATTGGTATTTTCGAGGATCCGCGACAGGTATTCGGTTAGCGGAGAGGGCTTTTAGCATGTGGTCTGATGTGTCAACTTTAACGTTCAAGAAAACACGTATTATTGACGAGGCGAATATTCTTATACATTACACCCCACGGTCCCACAGTAACTATTGGAAGTGTATGAAAGGAGTTTGTCAGTTTCCTTTTGATGGCCCCGGAGTAAGACTGGCTCATGCATATTTTCCTATAACCGATGATAAGTGTAAAGAAATTCATTTGGATTCGGAGGAACATTGGTATGAAGGTTTAGAGCCGGGCCCTGCTGGTACAGTAGCTTTACTTCCTGTTCTTATGCATGAAATCGGGCATACTTTAGGCTTGTCGCATACTACTGATGTTAATGTTATAATGTATCCCTGGTTCAAAACGGTCTATTCTCTTGGAGAAGACGATGTACATGGCATTCAATTTTTATATGGCGCCCCGTTAAGTACTACTACGCATACTCCGACCACCCCAATACCAAGAGTGAAGTCAATAAACCCTCCTACTACAACAACAGGTCCGTTACCTAGATTGTGTGACGTTAAGAAACCTGAAAAAATGTTGATAACGTCTAATCACCATTTTTATATTTTCAACGGGGAGGTATTATGGATTGTTGAGTTAAAAAACTATAGCTATGGACCAGCAGTTAGAGTCTCATCATATACGGATATAGCACCTATCGATTTCATTTATCAAAGGCCAAACGAGGAGTTTGTCGTTATTTCGGGGGTTTATTACTATATAGTAGAGTTTCCCAGCCTCCGCATCAAACATGGATACAAAAAGATCCCCCTAACAATGTTAGGGCTAAAAAACGTTGTTAAGGTACAGGGTATAGTTAACACATATTCAGGTAGAACATATATTTTTTATTATAATTATTACTATGCCGAAATCGATGAGTGTACATATCAGCTGAAAAATTATGGTATGATTACCGAGCTGTTTCCGGGGATACCAATAGGCTTCAATGGTGTTTTTAGATACCCTAATGGAAATTTGTATTTCTTTATGTACCTTTATATACCTTTTGTATGAATTTAACGAGTTTAAAGGAGCCCTTATACGAGCAGGTCCTTTTGACAGCAAATTAGAGACCTTATAAAAACAATACATTGACGACCAAGGTTAACCACACCAGTAGTTCAGTAAGCCGATAATACCGTACCAGAATCTTATTAAATTCCATACTATGAGGTCTATGTTTGTCGCTTATAGTTCATCTTAAACACTGATATTTCGACTGATTAAAACTGTTTGAATCTTTTTCCGCACCGCCCTTTTAAACAACCAGGCTATTATTTTATTATACATGTATAAAGCAACTCGCCCAATTGTTTTATTATTGAAAGAGCTAATATCTGGTAAAACCTGTATAAATATATGTTGATTTGGCTGTATTTAGTGATGGGACAAATGTATGGTCCTGTGAGATATAAATACACTGATTTCATAGTGATGGCACAATACAACGAAAATGTTTTTACTGCAAACTACAGTACTTTTTTAAAATAAACATGAGCCTAAACATATACATGTTTATTATTCTGTGGTTATTCAGATACCACATAACCATGGTGTCTAATATAAACAACATACCTATATTGGTACATGTCTTTGACATTAGATATGTTTGTACCTGAAATACACTTTCTTACTCTTACGAGGATAAATTTAAAAGTACCTGCCGTCTAGTTATTTTTCTCCGAGGTTAGGTCCAAATTTATGGGTATTGTATTTTACAATATTCATACATTTGGAGATTCCTTAAAACTAACGAGCCCCCTTTGTCTTTCCTCAGTGGGGCATGGAAAAGGTCCGAATGTATTAACAACGAAACTGTGTTCTGTCTTAATACGTTTGGAGTTATTTATTTCAATTATTTGTTCATTAATATTCCTGAAATAGTTAAGGGATTGATTAGCTACGTGTGATTCCCAAATATCTGTCAAACATGGATACAAAAAGATCCCCCTAACAATGTTAGGGCTAAAAAACGTTGTTAAGGTACAAGGTATAGTTAACACATATTCAGGTAGAACATATATTTTTTATTATAATTATTACTATGCCGAAATCGATGAGTGTACATATCAGCTGAAAAATTATGGTATGATTACCGAGCTGTTTCCGGGGATACCAATAGGCTTCAATGGTGTTTTTAGATACCCTAATGGAAATTTGTATTTCTTTATGTACCTTTATATACCTTTTGTATGAATTTAACGAGTTTAAAGGAGCCCTTATACGAGCAGGTCCTTTTGATTTAAGCCTTTTCGGTATCAACTGCACCTCCGATATTCTGCAGCAAATTAGAGAAAAACAATACATTGACGACCAAGGTTAACCACATCAGTAATTCAGTAAGCCGATAATACCATACCAGATTCTTATTAAACCCCATACTATGAGGCCTATGTTTGTCACTTATAGTTCATCGTAACTGATAACTGATATTTCGACTGATTAATTCGAATCTTTTTCCGCACCACCCTTTTAAACAACCAGGCTATTATTTTATTATACATGTATAAAGCTACCCACCCAATTGTTTTATTATTGAAAGAGCTAATATCTGGTAAAACCTGGTCCTGTGAGATATAAATACACTGATTTCATGGTGATAGCACAATACAACGAAAATGTGTTTTACTGCAAACTACAGAACTTTTTAAAATAAACATGAGCCGAAACATATATATGTTTATTATTCTGTGGTTATTCAGATACCGCATAACCATGGCGTCTAATATAAACAACATACCTATATTGGTACATGTCTTTGAAATTAGATATGTGTTTGTACCTGAAATACACTTTTCTTACTCTTACGATAAATTTAAAAAGTACCTGCCGTCTAGTTATTTTTCTCCGAGGTTAGGTCCAAATTTATGGGTATTGTATTTTACAATATTCATATATTTGGAGATTCCTTAAAACTAACGAGCCCCCTTTGTCTTTCCTCAGTGGGGCATGGAAAAGGTCCGAATGTATTAACAACGAAACTGTGTTCTGTCTTAATACGTTTGGAGTTATTTATTTCAATTATTTGTTCATTAATATTCCTGAAATAGTTAACGGATTAATTAGCTACGTGTGATTCCCAAATATCTGTTTATAAATATTTAGAGCACACCTGTATTGTCTTTATATTTAACAACGGTTGTAACCGAGCATTATAAGTTTTTATCCGAATTAATATACTCTAAAGCATTTATAATAAAACTAGCGGACCCGACAGACGTTGTCCTGTACACACGTCTTTAATTCGAAAATTTCAAACTTTTTAATAAGCTGTAACAATCTGAATCGTTATGATAAAAATTTAGAAAAGCACGGATTTTCTAAATCTAAGCCACAAATTGTCATTGTTTAACCTTGTGACTTATTACTAGTCACAGCAAATCCCAAGCGGATTGGGAACTGCAAACGTTTGAACGGTATAGGCGAATCTGAAGGAATCATTGTGATCCGTGGCAGAAGTACAACTTCACCTTGAAATTTTCCACTCAAAATAGTGGCTTCAAGAATGTTGCCCATGATTTTTTTTATGACCAGTCTCGTGCCATTAAATAATTTCGGGGCATTCAAATTTCGAAGCAAAATTATAGGTGAGCCAATCTTTAATCGCAAATTATGTGGTGGCATTCCAGGTAAATCCTGTAAATTTAAAAACTCTACAGGATAGTTGACAACTTCATCAGGATCAACGACAGACTCAATCGATTTGAATGTAATTTCATTACCAGGCAATGATTGTTGTATTTTGAAATTGATTGCGTCAACACCTAAATTTTTTGCGGCTAAAATAGCTCGCTCACGTAGCCATGCATGATTAGTATAATTATGTCGCAAATTTGGAAATATTCTCTGGGAGTCGAATATATTGTGTATCTTCATACAATTGAATTTTACCATTGCCAATGTATAACAATTGTTCAGAGAATCCTAACGCTAATGGATAATTTTGAAGTTGAACGCGCATATTAAGAGTAAGGCATAATTTACTGACGCCATAGATAAGATTCTTTTAAACATGCGTTTATTTCGTCCGCATATGTCGCATGTGGAATGACGGGTAATGTTTGTCTGAAATCACCAGACAGCAGCAGTAGACACCACCGAATAGTATTATCTTTGATATATTTCAGGGACCTGTCGAGAGCTTCAAGCGAATGCTTGTGGGCCGTTGTACATTCATCCCAGATAATAATTTTGCATTTTCTCAAAACTGCAGCCAAGCTTGAATGTTTCTTTAGGTTACACATAGAGATTGCAATCCGGCGTCATTTTCAGTCCGGCCGGATCCGACCGGATTCCCATCGATCTAATTCTGGAAGTTTAAGTTTTTGGGAGGTTTTGGTATTATGTACTTGTTGAAATGGCCCCAGAATACTAAAATTGACTAAAATTACAGACAATTTTTAAGCTATAAGTGTTTCAAGACCATTTTTAATGTCAATATTGCGAAATCAGTTCGTGTAAGAGGTTAAGTATCTTTTTAAATTTTCATTGTCCTGTGTTTGTAGGTATTTCATTCTCATTTTACAAATCGTTCCATTTCTTGTTTATTCTTTATAGTTATAGCAAGTTGAGAAATTTGTGTATTGCTGTGTGAATGGAGAGTTGGCAAAATGGCTTTTGCAGCACATATGTTATCTCTGATGGAGAACGAATGAGTTCAAAATATTAGAAATTTAAATCTTTATCGACGACATCTAAGAGATGCAACAAATCCATTTGATTTGAGAGACTTGGAATTTCAAAGACTTTTCCGGGTCGACAAAGAAACGGCCAGGTACTTAATAAATAGACTAACACCAAGATTAAATACACGTCGACTAAGAGGTTTCACTCCACAGGTGAAGGTAAATATTAATTAAATATGAAATCAGTTGTATAAAACTGAATAAAATAATTTGTAGGTTCTCCATACTCTTCCATGATGTCGATGGTTCATTTTCTCTACTCAAAACGGAACCCTCACTCAATCCCAAACCTTGGGATGACTCCGTGCCTATAATTCCTAAAATATTTTTTTCCCTGTCACTTAGGGGAGGTGGGGGAGTCAAATTTCCTGTTGTAGATTGAGCCATTTTTATGTTGCTCGATCTCTTTCTGGTCTGCATCTTTTGGTTCTTCCATACCTGAAAAAAAAAAACAATATTAGACACACGACCACAGAATTTTTACTATAAATGATTTGTATTAAGTGAAACAAGTAGTAGGTATACCCTTTTTCATTGTTCCACACTTTCGGCTGGGCCTAGTTCGTTTAATTGTTCTGTAAGACTTTTCCACTCTTTAATAAGGGCCTGCTTGCCCTGAGGCACCTGAAACTTCCTAGCAGCAAATTCTTGATTTGTCATCATGTAGTTGATAAGACAATCAATTTGCTTCTCGATAAATCTTTTCTTCCTAAAAATTAACACAAAATTAAAAACATTAAAATATGAACAAAATTTCTCTCACTTATTTTCTGCCTCTGTCATAANAATTTGTGTATTGCTGTGTGAATGGAGAGTTGGCAAAATGGCTTTTGCAGCACATATGTTATCTCTGATGGAGAACGAATGAGTTCAAAATATTAGAAATTTAAATCTTTATCGACGACATCTAAGAGATGCAACAAATCCATTTGATTTGAGAGACTTGGAATTTCAAAGACTTTTCCGGGTCGACAAAGAAACGGCCAGGTACTTAATAAATAGACTAACACCAAGATTAAATACACGTCGACTAAGAGGTTTCACTCCACAGGTGAAGGTAAATATTAATTAAATATGAAATCAGTTGTATAAAACTGAATAAAATAATTTGTAGGTTCTCCATACTCTTCCATGATGTCGATGGTTCATTTTCTCTACTCAAAACGGAACCCTCACTCAATCCCAAACCTTGGGATGACTCCGTGCCTATAATTCCTAAAATATTTTTTTCCCTGTCACTTAGGGGAGGTGGGGGAGTCAAATTTCCTGTTGTAGATTGAGCC